AAGTGTATCAGTATGTGGGTGTGACCTGCTGTCTGTGTGTGTGTATGTAAGTGTATCAGTATGAGGGTGTGACCTGCTGTCTGTGTTTGTGTATGGAAGTATACCAGTATGAGGGTCTGACCTGCTGTCTGTGTGTGTATGGAAGTGTATCAGTATGACGGTCTGACCTGCTGTCTGTGTGTGTGTATGGAAGTGTACCAGTACGAGGGTCTGACCTGCCATCCTGTGATCTCCACAGTACTCCTGCCAGGAGCAGGAAGAGGAGGGCCGCAAGCGGTATGAAGCCCAGAAGCTGGAACGCATGGAAACCAAGTGGAGGAATGGGGACATTGTGCAGCCTGTCCTCAACCCAGGTAGGTGGGCATGGGGCTGCTGACCTCCAAGTGCAGGTGCTTCTCCTGGCTGTTTACCAGGTGAGACCCAGCAGAGTGCTTTTGGAACTGGGCTCTCTCTTCGACTTCCTGGAGGAAGGCTGTCCCAGTGCCCTGCCCCAAGACAGGTGTCCTGAACATGAGTCCCCAGGGATCTCAGTGTACTCTCCAGTTGACAGTTGAGCAGCTTGAAGGGACTCACTCACTCACTCACCTGGGTAGAGAGAAAAATGCCATGTGTGCCGAGTTCTTCTGGGCGTGTCTCTCCCCAGGTAGTCTCTGTAGCACTTCAAAGAGCAACAACAACAATCAGTGTTTGATAGGATATCCAGCTCATTCCCCTCCTGCACCCTTCCCAAAAAAATGATAAAATGCAAAATGACAGTGATTTTTACACATGACCTTTCTTACCTGTTCACTCCTGAGGTGTTTGGCTTGGTAAATAGATTATGATCTTATCACTGAATCACTCTGGGGGTGATCGAGTGCTCACGTATGCATGAGTTTCCCACTTAGGATTCATTTCTGCCATTCCTTTGACCTTTCATGGTGGTCCAGCCCATGGTAGTCCAGCTTTGACAAAATGTCCATCCAAAATACAAACGAAGGTTAAGGGATGTTTTCCCTAATGGGTGTTCCACATAAACATCTTTAACAGGAAACTCCCCAGCTTGAGGGTCTGTGGGGGCTGTTCTGCTGGAAACCCAGAACCTTTGGGGAGATGGGCTGTCTTGGTGGTGTTCCTTCCATTCACAAAATGATCACATTTTAGCAATGTTGAGAGGTGCTCCTTTTAAAAGGTAGTATACGCATAGTTTCTTTTACTGTGCTTCACTTTATTGTGTGTCACTGATACTCTGTTTTATACAAATTGAAGTTTTGTGGCATCCCGGTGTCGAGCCAAGTCTGTCGGCACCCTTTTTCCAACAGCAGGTGCTCATTTCGTGTCTCTCTGTGACATTTTAGTGATTCTGACAATATTTCAACTTTTTTACAATGCTACAACACACTTACTAGACTACGGTCTAGTGTCAACTTAGCTTTTATACGCACTGGAAAACCCAGAAAGTTCATGTGACTGTCTTTATTGCGATAGCCTAGAACCAACCCTGAGATTTCTCTGAGGTATACTTGTATGTGATGAGACAGCAGGGTTTAGTCTTCAGTTTCCTCAGGACCAGGGCCACGTGTGGTGCCACGGGCCCTGTCTGGTGCAAAGCTGGGCGAGCCCTTGGAGGAGAAGACATCCCACCAGGGAACCAGTGGAGGACTGGGTGGTGGGCTGGGGCAGCCTGTGTGTGGTGGGTACTCCTGGCCCTGTCAGTGCTGGGAGCAGCAGGAGGAGCAGTACTGGGGAGGGGCACCGTGGCTGGTGCTGACTGTCATGGCTGCTCAGAAGGGACTGGAGCAAGTCTGACCAGAGAACTGTGAAGAGACGAGAAGGTCATGAGGTGAAGGCATTTAACAGTGTCCAGCACAACAGCAGGCTGTGAGAGGAGTGAGAAGAGGGGGTCACATCCAGGGGACTGCTTGGATCCCCCTTTCATTGGACACTTCCTGGAGAATGGTGTGAAAGCTAAATCCCAAAGCGATGCCAGTAGGCATGAAGGCCTGGCCACTGGGCATATCTTGTATTTTGAGTGAGACCCATGAGTTTAGATCCTGGCTTATCCACTGACTGACCATTTGGGAAAATTAAAATGACTCAGGGCTGCTGAGATTTTTTTTCCATTTGCCATCTTCTGTTTGACGGTCAATCTGATACATAATTTTTTGCAGAACTATTATCCTCCCGTAATAGTAACCAAAGGTGGCATTTCGTGGCGGATTTTCCAAGTTTTCATTTTCTAATGAAAATTCGTCTTTTACAGGGCTAGAGACCCTGGCTTTTAAACATTTTGTCTTTCTGGACATTGACATTTCCGACCTGAATTTCCTAGTAGGACTAGCATCTGATGGTGGGGCAGGGATACTCCTCTTTAAGCAGTTTTCCCCAGCCCACCTTACCAGCCTCCCAGAGCCAAAAATGGAACCTCTTGGTCTCTGGATGATAGCTCTGCATGGACGAGTTCAATTTGACAGATGTCTTCATTTTCTAGGGCTGTTGTAACAAAATACCAAAAAGTGGGTGGTTTCTAAGAACAGAAATCTATTGTCTCAGTTTTGGAGGTTACAAGTCTTAATTCAGGGCGTCTGCAGGGCTCTCCTCTCTCTGTTGGCTCTAGAAGACCTGGTTGGATAGGGGTAAGGGTGCTTATGAAAGGTTTCTTGTCTTTTTGAGCTCCTGGTAGCCCTGGGGGTTTCTTGGCATGTGTTCCTTTGTTTACAGACAGATCCTCTCGTGAGGTCCTCTGTGACTTTGTTTCCTTGTGTCATCTTCTCTTTGTAAGGACACCGATCAAACCCACCAGCCGCTCCTCAGAAACCCTATACAGGGTCGCTGTGGGCCAGAATCGGCTTGATGGTACCTAACAACAACAACAATCATAAAGAATTAAGACCCATTCTACTTCCATACGGACTCCTGGTGTGGTGGTACAACATAATCACTAGACTGTGAACCATAAAATCGGTGGTTCAGACCCAACAACTGCTCTTTGGGAACCCTGTACAGCATCGCCAAGTCAGAATCGACTCTACGGCCTTTAACTACTACTCCCATTGGCAGCATTTTCAAAGAAAGACCTTATTTCCCACAGTCACAAGGACTTCATCCTGTTACTTGGGGGAAATGCAGTTCAGACTGTACCAGAGTGAATGCTGGGCCATATGACAGTCCATTTTGGGGGTTATTTTATGACAATATCGGTCCCACCTTAGACGAATTCAAGCATCTGCTCACACCCTCCCTGCTTGAGTTTAAAACGTGCTTCACTTTGAACTCTGCCCACCGCCTGCCCATGCAGCTATGGTGTTCTCATGTGGCTCCAGCCCCTGGTTCCTGGGGTCCGCCTTCCTAAGGAGGCGGGCTTATGAAAGGTTTGCGTTTGAGCAGTGCATCGCTTCTTACCGATTTATGCATGTGTAGCAACACCACCAGCTAAAACTCCCAAATCTGTGTGGCTTAACCCTGTCCTTCATAGAGCCTTTTTACATATCTTCTTGTGGTTGTTGCTGTTAAGTGTTGTTGAATTGATTCCAGCTCATAACAACTCTGTTTAGGGTTTCCCAGGAGGGGCTGGCTTAATAGTTCATTGCTTATCCTGCAGTGCCGCACCAGGACTTAATTCCACCTAAATAACAGAACACACGAGAACATAGGAGAGGCCATTGAGGGTGAGCCAGGATCCTGTTCCCTTCTCTTTAGGAAGCTCCTTCCCCCGGCTTTGAGCCAAACACAAGAATGAGCTGACACAGCCCCTCCCCACAGTTACACCAAGGGAAGTAACTCAAGCCATGTGTGTATGTATGTGTGTATAAGAATTTGGGTGTCTCATACCCTCGGAAACCCTGTACAGGGTCACTATGGGTTGGAACCGACTTGACGGCACTTAACAACAACATCAATCCAAATTCTAAGAACATTCAATGACTAGATGCTGATATTTTAAGAAATTAGAACAAAACAGTGGGACAATTCTCTGACGAGGGAGTTATAGTTATTTCAAACCACATGTATCTGAATAAATAATATCTGGCACTGCAAGGATTTTTGTATGCCATTTTTAATTACGTTTGAAACTTAAGAATTACTATGTCCTTGTCTACATGTAAATCCTTTAGTTGCTTATAGCAGTTCCTGTTGTTGTTGTTACGTACTGTTGAGTCATTTCTGACCCATAGCCACCCTATCTATATAGGATTTTCAAGGAGCAGCTGCTGAGCTTGAACCACTGACCTTGTGGTTCAAATGACTTTGCAGTCCAGCGCATTATTAGCCCACAGTGTTACCCCAGGACTCCATAGCAGTTCCTGAGATGGGGCCAAGTCTGAGGGTTTGGGTTTCATGCTGTATAAGCTTGGGTTTTTTGGGTTGTTGTTTTTAAAGCTTTTTATTGTGAATTGAGTGAAGGTTTACAGAGCAGATAATCAGTTTTACAATCATTCTATCATATACTTTGTTCATTACACTGATTGCCATCCCTTCCCTGTACCAACAGTTAGTAACATTTACCTCTGTTCACTTTAACTTGCATTCCTCCCTGTGTCTTCCACAACCTCCCTCTTATTTTACAATGTCTGTCTATCACTCATAGTAACTTGTATCTACCCTCTAGCCCATGAATAATTTTCCCTTCCTCCACCCCCATCCCCTGTAACCATAATTTTGTTGTTAGATGCCATCGGGTTGGTAACCAAGTCATAGTGACCTTATGCATAGATTCATCATGATTCTTCAACGTTTCTGGGTGTTTCACTGTGTGTATGTACCAAAGTTTGTTTAACCATTCTTCGGTTGATGGGTATTTAGACTGTCTCAATCTTTTTGATGTGTCTTTTATAAATAGCACTTTGAAGGAATGTGTTTTCTTATCCATACTGCTTTTTCTGTCTCTTGACTGGTACTTTCAATCCACTTGTTGTTGTTGTTGTCAGGTGCCATCGAGTCGGAAC